AATTTGTTGTTATTAGTGATCACATAAGCCCGCAAAGTGTTTTTCACTTAACAACTTATTACCAACATGGCTCTTTTTTTTAATTTTTTTTTTAAATTTTTTTTCAACGTTTATTTATTTTTGGGACAGAGAGAGACAGAGCATGAACGGGGGGGGGTGAAGAGAGGGAGACGCCACAGAATCGAACAGGCTCCAGGCTCAGTACCGTCAATAGCCAGAAACCCGGCGGGGCTCCAACCATGGGGCAGCGAGATGTCGTGACCTGGCTGGCGAAGTCGAGCCTAACGCCGACCCAGCGCCACCCAGAAGCCCCAACCAACTTTATGGTTTTCTATTGTGGCCGTGATTTATTTAACTTGAACCTGTTGATGGCTGTTGAGGCTGCTCTATTTTTGCTCCACCAGCAGTGTTGCAATGAGCATCTTGCATGTTATCATATGAACTAGTGCAAGTCTATCTAAATATAAATTTTCTAAATTGAAATTTCTGGGTCAGAAGAAGTATACATGCTTTTTCTTTCGCTGGATTTGCAAACTCTACTAAATTATTGTACCAATTTGCCTAATGGAAGGACCTCCGAGGACGGGGGACACTGGAATGGAGGATGGTAACAACAGGAGAAGCGAAGGTGATAATTAATTAGGCCTAGCGTCCCTTACCGGAAGTGAGAGAGCAGGGGTCAAGAGCGCCAGTCCTCATGAAGCAAAAAAAAAATTCTAGATGCACCGGTCATTCTGTCCATTCTGGACTGAAAATATAACAAATGATGGAAACAGCTAAGAAGTTTGATCCGTCTTTCACCCTTCCAGGAATTCCAAAATCCTCTCCTTTCACCAAAGGATCATTTGTTTTCTGTGTGATTTCTTCTAATAAAACATCGATGATCAACATTGATATTAATAAGCATCCTCTAAAAGGCTGCACTCCATGCTCAATAAGCCAGATTCACTAGGAATTTGATTTCTTTGGAAGGGAGCTTTGGGCATGAAAGTGTGTTTACCTATCTTTCTGGTCCTTATGCGGGGGGGATGTAACAAAAGCAGTTGAAACGTGTTATTCTATCGCGCCGGATAAACAAACTGCGTTCATATAGCGTCCATTTCACCTCTTGGCCAGTGATGATTCAGATGGATTAATATTCAAACAACTGGTATGTTATTGAATGCTAGGGGTTTACAAAGATTTTTTTTTAGTTTTTTTAATGTTTATTTATTTTGAGGAGAGAGAGAGAGAAAAAAAAAGAACAAGTGGGGGAGGGGCAGAGAGAGAGGGAGACTACAGAAATCGAGAAACAGGCTCTGGGCTCGAGCTGTCAGCACAAGAGCCCGACCACGGGCGAACCTAAGCGGTGAGATCACTTGACCTGAAGCTGAAATTGACGCTCAACTGACTGAAGCCGCAGGCACCTCTGGAATGCTAGTTTTAAGATAAAAATGGCCAAGGGTTTCTTGCTTGCAGGGGGCTGTGTTTGGGCTATGACCCCATAATTCTCAGAAGCCCTTTTGGAAAAAATTTAGAATTGTTGAGAGACCAAACTGGGTCAGCTTACACACTTACAGTGTTTGAATCAAATTTTAATTTGAGCATTTGCTCTATTGAGAAAGTGGGACAGAAGGGAGGGACAGCTGAATCGTGCCTTAATATTCTTGCTGCTAACTTGAAGGCTCTATAAAGCAACGCACTTTGCCTCAGGATCAAGTTAGGTCTTGCCCATCACAGAGTTCAAGGGGAACTGAGACACAACCTCAGGCCCTGTCCCATTAGGTGCTCACTCCTCCAGTCTCTCCTGAGCCAAGTCAGTAGCCCTTGTAGCCTTCAACATAGACTATTCCTTCGGGACCTCTTATTTCTCCTTGTCTAGCTACTGTGCTGTAATAAATCACCCCAAACTCGGTGGGGGGCGAGGGGTGTCAAACCCAACAACATCTGAGGCTCACATGGGTCTGTGGTCAGAAATCCCGGTAGGATGGCTCATTGCTGCCTGTGATGTCCTGGTGCTTCCATTGGGGAAGACTCGGTGGCCAGGGCTGGAATCCCGCCAGTCACTTTCTTCACATGTTTGGTGCTATGGGCTGGAGAGAAGGCTGAAGGACTGGCTCAGTTGGGAGAGGCGTGTGTAAACTTCATGTGACTTGTGCTTCTCATAGCATGGCCTCGGGTCTGAACAACAAGCAGGGACAAGCCTTCTGGGAGGACCAGCTAGGACCTGGTTGGCGTTTTACGACACTGCCTTGTATCACTTCGCGGCGTTTAGTGGTCCAAAGCAGTTCAAAAATCCTCCTAGATTCAGGAAGCGGAGACAGAGACCTCACTTATCGGTGGGAGGTTCAAAAGAACTTGGGGGCCATATTGGAAAGCTACCACGGTGTTCCTTCACAGGTCCTGGATCGCCAGCTCCCAGTGCTGTGCCTCTGCTTCCAGGGGACATAAGACAGAACACTAGGCATGAAGCGTGGTAGTAAAGATAAGGGCATTGATGATCCGGCCAGTGTGGATAATTCTGAACATGCGTGGTAGAAAGCGTTGGAATTCTCCAAGTTATCCCGACCTGTGGGTGCCACCATAGAGGGGCAGAAGCAGCAACCAAGCCGGGGTTTTTCAGGGGAAAAGTGATAACAAGCACTTTCCATGGAGAACCCCCACATATCACTATACAGTGGTGCCCTCCACAACCAGAGGGAGCCCTTAGAGCGTGTATTAGTGGCCCGTGCACACTGAGCTTTTGATGAAACATACCAAGGGAAAGCAATAAATAGTTTCTCTCTGCTGTACTGTTAATCAAATGTCTGCTCACTCCCTTTCGGGGTTATCTCCTTATGTGAAGTGAGGGGCTTCAGACTATTCAGTCAATCCTCCTGATTCTTGTTTCTCCCGTCTACCCGGCTGAGCACTATCTCAGCCAGGCAGCCACTTGAGGTTCACACCTGGGTCTCTTGGAACAGAGAGAATTAGCCAGCCTCTGGGGCCAGGGGCTGATGAGAAGCTTTTGATTTCCTGCCGTAGCCTCTCTCCAAATCCCTGCAACCCCACAAACACACAGCAGATGGATATCAATCACAGGTTTTACCCAAAGCTTGGGAATAACTGAAATTTCAAGGAGAGTGTGGGGTGATTGCCATATACAAATAAATCTTGAAGTCCCCCAACATATTTTTTAAAGGGGTATTTTATGCGGCCAGGATCCCCTTTGGCAGTCCGATGAAACCTGTGAATTATGTTTTTAAATGCATGAAATAGAATAATTGAGGGAACTAACAAAATCAATTACATTTTAAGAAGTACAGAAGTGTCAAAATATTAAACAAAATGTGTGATATAATCATACATATGCTTCTTTATTTGATGCCTTAAATAATAAGAAAGCTATCATAATTCTGAAAATGTCGTGGTGGTGGCTGTAAACAACATTATAATATAGTTTGCTTCCGTAACCTTATGCTGGGAAAGTGAGTGACAAAGTCACAGTAACACTACTTAATTCAGGGCACCTAGATGGCTTGTGTTTACAGCTGGAGAAAATGCTAGATTCCATTTCGAGGTTGATGAAAATAAAGATACATTCTTTCCCATCAAATTCGGCGGAAGCCCCTTGAATTCTATCCCCGGGCCCCCCTGCGGGCATTCAGAAGAGCCCCCGGACCCCCTGTCTGGTGCATTTTAGCCATGTTGCCTGGCCTCAGGGGAGCGGCCATCTCATTTCTCAGAGCGAGTGCTTCTTCTTCAGCCCTTCCCAGGGCAAATCTCAAAATCTCCTCTTCAAAACCCAACCTCAACCCTCTGACTTCCCTCTCCCACGGGGTTAAACCACAGGAACTCAGTGATACACCCTGGCCAGTGGGTAATAGAGATATCCTTTGGCCTAGCACACTGGTGCATGCTCTGTAAGGCTGAGCCTGGATCGCTTCTATTACCCAGGGGCTGGGCGCCTTGTTTGACTTGTGGGAAGACACTGGAAGCTTCAGGCCAGGAGCTCCATGGACAGGAAAATCTGTACAATCAAGGCTACAGGAGAGGCAGCCTCAGACTTTTTGAGTTCTTCTCCCAGGGCAAAGAAGACACCCCTGACCAGCTGTCAGCTTTAACGATGGGGAGCTGCAGCAAGAGAGCACAGGACA